AAAAAAAAAAAAAAAAAAAAAAAAACCGCGAAATAGAAAGCAAAATGGCGAATAAGTCACACATAAAAATAAAATTTTCTTCTTGTTCTTCCGGAACAATTTTTTTTTTCATTTCAGCTAATTGTGTGCTAATGTAGAATGATGTGGTTGAACCCTGAATCTCCGGTTTCAAGTGCCTATGTGTAACTCTCATTTGGCGTGTTCCGCTTTGCTCAGCACGAATGGTGACCCATGCGTTGGTTCTGTGCATGCATGAGTGTATTTTTTCATTTTCACTTCCGCCCAATCATTGCATCTGTTTTTCTGCGCGCTGATTGGTTTGCGCCCCTTAGTCAAAACGCAGCCATGATGGTAAAGTCGGTGAATTCGATATGTTGATCAATTTTGTTGCTTTTTCCGGTTGGCAACTTACTCGCCATCCCACACATCTATACTTCATTCTTTCATGTGGGTAGTTGTAACTAGCCTTTTTTTTTTTTCTTTTTTTATTATTATTATTATTTATTTTATTTTTTTTTTTTATCTTTTTACAGTTCCGCTTAACCATCACCTGCACACCCTTATCGTTTACTTTGTGTACTCTGACATACTTTGCATTTTGTTTATCCCGAGTTACATTAGCTTATCACTTTTCCCTGTGTGTCGAGATTATCCACATCGAGTTACTTCGTGTCCTCGAGGAGTGCAAAAAAAAAAAAACAAAAAAAAACAACATTGCTATATTACACTGGTTAATATGTTTTCTGAGTTTATTGCAGTGTGTCCTTTTTCGTTTGCGCAAATACTTACCTGAACGCATCTGCCATTGGTACTGCCCTGCATATACCTACTCTCAGTCACACACACACACACCCTAACAGCTGCATCAAGCAACTTGAGGTGGTTTCTCTAGATACCCCCTTGGCTTCGAAATGCTCGTCATTTTGTTTCAAAATTTAATGCTACATTTGGAGAGATTTATATTTTACTTGGAGTTATCTCTCTTCTACCTAACAGCGCTTTTCCTGTGCAGTTGATTTATGTGTCGCATATCTGAGGGAACTTCTCGCGCGCGTATACTCGGTGAAGTGCTCCATTTGGGGACGGGCAAATAGGGAAGGGAACAAAAAAAAAAAAAAAAAAACACCCCTGAGGTGTGCGTCTTCCACGAGGTGCACTTGCCCCATTTGTTAAGAATTGGAGATAGGAAGTTCTCCACCGCTGCAGTGGCGAAAAGGGAAAAAAAAAAAAAAAAAACATTCAAGAGGGAACAATAATAGGGCCAACGTTCAAGACGGAATATCCGTTGCAAGGACAAGACAAGACAACACAAGACCGCGTCAGGTGGTGAACACGTGAAGAAATAATTTTGGTGGGTCAAACTGGGCACCCCGTTTTTTCGACCCCATCCTAATTAGAGAAGTGACACACGGGGGGAGCAGCTTCACAAAAAGGGAAGACACGCATGGTGGAGGGAGAAGCGAAGAGTAACGATTAGAAAAAAAATATATCATTCGAGGGCAAAGGAAAAATTGGTAATATAGGAAAAGAACACGACCATGGGGAGTAGTCCAACGCAGATGAAACAAGACGTGGTCACTGAGAGCGATCCGTTCAGTATGAAGAGAAAGCAGCAGAATGGTAACATCGTCCCCCCGAGTGGAAGAAGTCAAAAGGGAATAAGCCACAGAGTTAGCACAGTAAGAGTGACCTCCAAGTGCGCTCTGGGCAATGAGGAACAAAAAAGTGGGTACATCCCCTCGACAGGGGATCATATTCCTCCGGATAGTGTCAAATGTGAAAAGGAAGTCAGTTTCGCGGAGTGGACCTTTTACAAAGAGCAAAGGTGGTATGCGCATGGAAGCGTCTCCACGAACACATACTTTGACCAGTGCAGCTTTGATGAGAGCACCTTGCACCAAAAAAGCAATGAAGGTTATGTCTCCATGGGCACTGCCCTGGAGATGGAGGGGAAAATGACTGACCTGCGTTACAGTCAAAATAGCACTCTAAAGGAGGATAATAAAATGTTCCTATCAGAGCATGAAATTTTTTTTGCAAACGATGAGTTAGATGTGAAAGGGAAGAATGAGTCTGGTCAGAAAGGTAAGGTAGTAGATGGAGGAGGGGGAAAAAGGAGGGACGTTGTGTCTACTAACGAGGCACTAAAAAAGGGAAAATACCCTTCTGGAGATGTTACGACTAATTCGAAGAGCAGCCACGAAGATAAAACAAATGTTCATAGAAGGAAGAACCCATTGGGGATGTCTTCCAAATGTGAAGTTGCTAACCCTGTAAAGTGCAACACATCTGATAGGGGAAATAATGCAAAATTGCAAAGGGAATCCACGCACGTAATTTTAGAAGAAGCCCCTGTTACTGGAAAGAAAAGGACTTCCAATTCGACTGGGAAGAAGGTAGCAGATCACAAAATGAGTAATGCCTCGTCGTACGATGAACGCAAGAGGGAAGAAAATATTACCACGTCGAATTACACGTTGGATAATTGTACGCCTGTAGATCAAATGGACTGGAGAAATGACACGCTCTGTCATGAAAACAGTTTACAAAGTAGTCTGTCGAAGAGTGCCCATAGTTCTAGTTTAGTGGAGTATGTCACTTCTCAACATAGTAGCCTCACTACTGAGTATGGGCAGCAGTATCATGAGGACAGGCCTTACAGAAGCGAACGCACCACGGGTACTCGTCCTTGTGATAAGCCCTCGTACTTAAGTAGCCAAGTGCAAGATAGTCTTTACAATTCGGTTGTGAGGAGCATGGAGAGGGAAATTATAACCTTGGACGGGTTAGAGCAGAGGGGCGTAAGCGAGGCAAGTGGAAAGGTAGTGAAAGACGCAAGAGTGGATGGTGTACAGCCTAAGGAGGGGATACTTCCTCCAGTGGAAGCCCAGGGAGCGAAAGGCACCACATCAGAAGAACACGCAGTGAAAATATTTTTCAAGGGAGACAGAAGGTTCTTCAATTTCGATCTCCCCGCTAACGAAATAATCGAGCGGAAGAGCTTCGAATTAATGGAAATGATCAGCGAGGGAAGTTTCGGCACCGTTTACAAAGCCCTGTGGAAGAACAAAATCGTTGCTGTGAAAAAGTCTCACATACACATGTCCCTGGAGGGCATGCGCTCCATCGTGCGTGAGGTGAACACGTACCGCTCCGTTTCGCACGACAACATTGTGAAGTATTACGGTAAGGGAAGCGCGCGCGAGAGAGAGAGAGTGTGTTTTTTCTCGGTTTAGCAAATTAGCGGTTAAGCGGTTGTTTCATTGCATAGTTGTGCGAAGCGGGTTCAACGTACATTTATGCTTTTCCCATCTGTCCCCTTCGCAGGAGTCTGCATAGACGAAGGTTTCATAGGGATCGTCCTGGAGTATTTCCCCAGAGGGAACGTCTTCGACATGTTGTACAATGGCACGCTGATTGTGCCTTACGAGGTTCGCCTGCAGATGGCTGTCCAGCTGGTGCAAGTGGTTAACTATCTGCACTCGGTTAAGCGTTTGGTGCACCGGGATTTGAAAACGAGTAACTTTTTGTTCGACGAGCAGGTAAGACGCAGGGAGACAACCTAAAAAGAGGGCCCCGGGGGAGAGTGACAAAGGGAGCTTTTACCCATTGCAGATTCGCGTGTGGGTCACCCATCGTCGAGCGCTCCTCCCATAGCGCACTTGCCCATTTCATGCTGTGTCACTTGATGCCACGCTTCCCCATCCCCGCAGTACAACCTAAAAATATGCGATTTCGGAAAAACGAGGAAGTTAAACGAAGACGGGAAAATTATTTTAGAGGACAACGGAGGTTCCCCGAGATACATGGCCCCAGAGTGTTTCATCGAAGGTAGCACTGATGAGGGAATTGTACATATTCGTGTGTGCGAGTGACATTTCTCTTGTTACGATGCTGTGGTACATAGCAACTAGTTCGCTTTATTCACCTCTCAACGGTTTGTTAGAAGGGGGATCCACGAGCGCTATATTCCCCCGGGTCTTTGGTTCCTCCTTTTCGTGGGAGTGAATTCGAATTTAATTAGTTATGCTATGTCCACTCATTGATTTTCCAATCGTATTTTTGTTTTCTTCATTTTTCTATTTTTTGTGGTGTGTACTTTGATCCTCACTTGTAACCTTGTTGTTGTTCCCCCGTTGCAGAGAACTCCATAAATGAGAAGTCGGACATCTGGGGCTTGGCGTGTTGCCTCATTGAGATTTTCGCCAACCAAATTCCATTTCAGCACATAAAGCACAAGGAAGGTATGTGGGAGGGAGGCAACATCGGGAAAGTGGCGTGAACGAATGGACAATACATGGACGTAAACTATATGCTTTTGTACACTGGTCATGTGCATATTCGTTCTTCCCCGACTCGTAAAACTCACGTGAATGCATGCGCCCTTCACACACATACACACCTTCCCTTTTCAGACGTTGTCGTAGAAATTTTGGTCAAGAAACAGAAGCCAAACGTGCCTAACTGTTTCCACCCCCAATTACACAATCTATTAGAGAGAAGTTTCTGCATAGACCCAGAGGAAAGGCCCTCATGCGAAGAGTACCTACAATTGCTCCTCGAGTTTTATTCAAAAAATTCAGTGTGTTAAAAAAAAGAAAAGAAAAGTGAAGAGTAAATGGCATTTTCAAGACGTTTATGTCGCCTTTTTTTGTGCGTGTTTGAGATGGACACTTATCTGATTATGAGCCATTGATCCACTCCGTTGATCATCCTTGGCATGTCCTTTTTTTTTTTGTTTTTTTTTTTTAACGTGTCCTGATATACTTCCCCCCCACATTTGGGAACCTTTTTTATAGATTTTATTACATTGCACAAATTTGCCTAAAAGTGGTAGATGAAAATGGCATAACTGAGGAATTGTCCTAAATTCGCCATTGGCATGTTTGTCGTTTTTTTTCCAACATAGTTGTCCCCGGTGGGCAACACAAAGTTTGTTCTCACCTTGTGAGGGGATGAACAGGTGGAATTTACACCGTTAACACTTACGGAATTGGGGCGAAAGGGTGAGAATGCACGTCCATTCTGTGACTGAAAGTTCTCTTCTGTTTTGTAGGACCTAAACCGAATTGGGAGGACTCTTTGGTTCGAAGAAGAGGTGGAAAAATTCTTCTTACTGCCATTATGATAGGACACACAAAATGTGTTTACAGTGGACATAAGTTGTAACTCAGTGGTGTAGCTAGCTATTTTGAAGTAGCCAAACGGGAATTAAAAAAAAAAAAAAAAAAAAAAAAAAAAAATTACCACTATAAATATATAATTATATGTAGTGAAAAAAGCTAGCCATCTCGTCTAGCTTTTTTGTGAATTCAATTTTTATTCCTAGACAATCCATATGCACATTTTAAAATTTAAAAAAAAAAAAAAAAAGAAGAAAAAAACGTTGTAAGGCTATTGGGAGAAGACAAATGATTATCAACTCGTTGAGGCGTGGTAAAAAAGGAGCATATGAATACGAATTTAATTATAAAAGTTTTATTTTTTTTTTAAGTTTATTTTTGTTTTGAATTTAACTTTATAATTCCGTCCATTTTGTCAATTATTCCAATTTTATCTGCTTCAATTTTTTCGTGTTTCCTATCCGTTTTTGTCACAACAGTGTCTATCCGCCGAGCGCCACTTTGTACGAGTCTTTTCCAATTGCTTCATTTTTTTTTTTTTTGGGTTTCGTTTTTTCGTTTACTTCATTTGTTCACCTTCTGGCACGTGTCCACTCAAGCCTGCCCAAGTTGACCTACACTGTGCAGCCCCATATTGGCACCCCATTTTTGCGATTAAGGCAGTTAGAATTTCCCCCCGTAAGAGAGCAACACAAACGGAGAGGAGAAATAATAAAAGGTGGAAAAACAAAAAAAAAAAAAAAAAATAATAATAAAGTAATAATAAATAACAACACAAAATGAAAGGTGTACATGCCGTATCCTGCTTCATCCTCTTGTTGGCCAATGTCCACAATTCCGTGTCCACAAAAATGAACCTTGTGTCGCACAATTCTGTTCCCAGAATTGATCCCGAAGAAGGTTCCGACGAAAAAGTTATAACGTGTGTCACTAAATATATCATTAAAGGAGACTTAGAAATTGACGATGGAGGTTTTTGTAGCAGCAGCATAGGTTCGCAATCCCCGCCAGGATCATGCGGTGATGGGGGAGCGAACGCAGGAAATTATTGTGATAACTATTATGACATAACTTTACTTGTTGAGGAGTCTAGCTTTGTTCAGAGAGATTACTGGAAGAAAGGAACGATCCCCTTTTTAGAATCCATGGTTAGGAATGCCCGAGTGAGTAAGGACAAGGCACACATGTCCGTAGTGTTATTTGCGCGAGACCCACGTGTTATAATCCCATTCACTGATGAAGTTAGTCAAGATAAGGATAAGTTGATTGAGAGAGTTCGAGCCATAGATGACGTAGGGACTAGTCCTGACACGCTGTATGCATACGCATTGGAACACACCTTGGAGCATGTCATTTTTGGGGACGGCACCAGGAAGGATGCACCGAAGGTTGCAGTCCTGTTTTACTATGGATTTGATTATGGAGCAAATAAGAGCCTCATCCCTGATGTGGTGGAAGATTACAGACAGAAGAACGTCAAGCTGGTGATAGTTGGAATCGCCTTAGGGAACAGGGACAATGCATACTTGCTTGGGGGCTGTGCCATCGGTGACGAGAACTGCGCCAACGTGATATTTAAGCCCTGGGACTTTGTAATCCCCGCAGCTGCGGAGGTGAAGGAGAAAATATGCAGCAAAGGACACAGCGAGGGGGATTCCACCTCTACGGACTGAAAAGGGTGGAGTGCACCCGAACGGGCGGCTCGGAGTAGGTAGGTGAAGATGCCCCAATCTGTCACAAGATTACACAATATGCAAATGCCGCTACATCCGAGTCGTTTAAAACTGGCACATGGGGGGTAGAAGCCCTTCGGTCGCGCGTTATGTTAAGACTGGGCTGCGTTTTTCGAGGCAAGAGACACACCTCCGTATTGCCAATCTTTATTGCATCTCCGCGCCAAAGAGTTTCATTTGTGCTTGTATATACATCTGCACACGAGCATACATGTGTCAGCATTGCTCCCTCTGGTGGAAGCACCTGGGTACATTCCAATGTGCACAAGTGCAAATTTACATGTATATGAGTAAACAAGAAACTCGAGTAGATACTGAAGCAGCAGGTTTGAATTGAGACAAGAGAGAAAAAAAACAAAAAAACAAAAAAAGAGCTCTCTTAAGGTAAAACTGTTATGGGGCTTTTTTTTTTTTTTTTTTATAGTGTCAGCTTTTTATGCGTTGTATGTTTATGGGTGGTGTCATTTTTGCCGTTGGACCAAGTCCATTTTGGCGGGAAGGTTGGGGAAGGCTAATTTGTTATTTGGGCACGTGGTCACACAACTCAAGAGGTAAGAATTCCCCAATGTAGTGTAATATCTCCTCTATTCGATATTTAAAGGGAGTTATTTGAGTTGACCTTGTTTTGGGGAGGTGTAAAAAAAAAAAAAAAAATTGCAACATAATTTGTACAGTAGCGTTTTTACAAAATGCATAGGATGCATGTGTTTTGTTTCCTCTGTGGGGAGGGTGAACTAAAGCTTTTTTTTCAATCGGATGGAATTTTTTCTGGTGGAGGAACCATTTTGGCATATTGTTACCATATCAGCAGGTGTGTTCTAAATGGCCCTCGCGGGGCAGGAAGATGATTGGGCGCTATAGAACGTTGCAAGGTTTGCCACTTGAAACAGTACACAAAATGGATGGAAACAAAGTGGAAAAAGAGGTACATTATATTTTCTTTTGTTTGTGTTACTTTTTACACTTTTTTGTGTCAAATATTTAGTGTGAAGGGTGAACAAGTGGGAACATATTTTTTTAGCACGTGTGTTGAGCGTGAGAATTGCGCCAAATTTTGCGGGATCCTTTGGAGTGTTTTTTTCCTTATTAGGGGGAAACAGACTTAGGAAGTAGGAAATGTGATGCACTGTTCCGTTTCCCTTATGGGGGCAATTACTAAATTTTGGGGAGTAGGCTTGAAACGATCTTACACTGGTACACATATTGAGAATAACCAAAAATGGGGGCAGCAATTTTTTGGGGTTGATGGTATAAGCAGGGTGTGTTTAAGAAAAAGATGGGCGCTTTTGAGGGGGCAACGCAAAAGAATATTACATTCGCGAGAGGTACACTATTGATGTTGAAAATATAACATAGTGGATAAAAAATTGATATGCATTCTCAGGTTCTTAAATACATAGCAGCTTGAGGTGCAAATCAATTAGGTGACTGTGGTAAGTACAATTGACTAGTCTCAGCTTAGCGACCGATATCTTACATGAACATGTCGTGATTGTGCCATGGGAAAAAAAGTAAGCAACGATATATTAAAGGTTAAGGAAAGGTAAAGGAATAAATATATAGTAAAGGTAAGTGAAATAAGGCAAAGTTAAGGTAAAGGTAAATTGGTAGAACAATAGAATAACACACCTGTGAACTTTTCAATGAGTGGAAATGATAATAAAAAACTGCCTGCAATGCTGATGGCATGTTTTTTTATGCATCCCTCTTAGGCAAATTTTGTTTTTTTTAAAGGACATATATAACAAAGGCAAATATAAATTATGTGGAAAATTGTAAAAGGGCCATTTTTTTTATTTCTCTCCTTAAATTGTTACGCTTACGGTACGGTAAAATACCATACGATAAAACAACCTCATAATCCGTCTAAGGTTTTTTCAAAAGCACAACGGAAACTTAAGGAAACGGTATTTATTTAATATATAACTAGCTACTCAAAAAAGGATATTTTAAAAAGTATAAAACGTATAGATATGTAAATGGTATATTCGCCTCAGGCTCCACAATAGGAACATATATATATATATATATGTTAAAGGTTAACAGTTAAGGTACGGAATCGAATGCACAAATGTATATATATATATATATATATATATATGTATAATTTTGTTGGATGTCTTTTGAGCACCTATTAAATATAATATGTTACACTTGCAAAAACGCTTCAACAAAGATAAAGAAATCAATGCTTTTGCATATTGCATAAAGAGTAAAGAGCTCTTCTTTGTTTAGAAGTAACTCATTCCGACACGCAGAGGTGTAGAATGTCCCTATCTTGTATCAGTGTGCAGTTTTATTACTCACATCTGTGACGAGTTCTCATCCAGTCGTGAAAGATCCTTTTTTTTTGTTTTTAAACAACCTTAACGATGGATGTCTTGGTTCCTACGGCGAAGAAGGCCGCAATTAAACGCGATACATGTGACACGAAAAAGGTAAATGTGAATAATCGAAAATCGTATATATTCTCCGTGAATCATCTATTAAGCCGAATGCCAAAATGAAAGTATGTGCTCATCAATCTTGCTATAAAGAAAGGGTAGCCAATATATATATATATAGCAGATGATGATACTTCTGTTTTTATAAGTTTGCACCAGGTGTAGGGGGAAAATTAGATTGATAAATAGAGGAGATTTAAAAAAAAAAGGGGGGATAGTTAAACAAGTACGAATTTTAATTCATACGAGTTTTTCTTACCTTTTTTTTTTTTTTTTTTTTATTTTTTATTT